TTCTTTCGATCTCTGTGCCTTTCACCAGCTTTTTCGGCCAACTGTAATGCTAACTTCTCTCTTTTCGGTGGTTCTGCCATCCTAAAAGAAGGACCTTGACTCGTTCTAAGCAGTGGAGTGTCACCACCGTCCAAACGAAAGGGAGTCCCTTCGATTTGACCCCATGTCATCAAAGGACTCTCACATTCTCCTGGTCTCGGACTTGGTGTCGCTACGAAACTGTAACCGTTCACTTGCGGCGTTGCATTTCTAACGACTTCTTTACCATCTACACCGATTTTGCCATCATTAGCCTTGGACTGGGACTTTGCCAATTCGTTGATGGTTTCCTTATTTTGTTGTTCATTGAAGGGATTTGTTTTTAATCTCGTGTTTTCGTGCATCACCACCTGTTTCTTCTTAGCTAACTCTATTTTCTCCTCAGCTGTAGGCTCCACTCCATCAGGAATATACATAATGTAATTCTTATTCCTGTAAGCCCAACTGTCCACTTGCTTCGGTCTAGAATTTGGTCCTTCAATAGCTAAGGGATCAGTTGTATTGTTAATAGCAAGCCATGCCTTTGACTTCTCTTCTGCCTCATAGAGCCAAGCATGCTTTAGTCTACGTTTGTTTTCTGCTTCAACCATCATCTCCTCAAAACTAGCATTATCTTCACTTGTGTGAGTACTTAAATAATCATCCAAACCAGTCTTATTTTCTATTTTATCGTCCTGCTTCACAGGTTCTATTGATACTTCTTCAGCAGCTACTTCGGGAGTATGTGGTACTTCATCCACTTCAACTCTACGTTGAGGAGTCTCAAAAGTTGCTGGGCTAACTGGTCTTTCTGTAACAGGTCGGCCAGAGCTATACTTTGCATACAATTCTCTCATTCTTTTCACATCGTTCTGCTCCAGGGCATCTAAGTATTGATTCTGTGCCTGTAATCTTTCCAAGTGTGGAAAAAAATCCCTCTGTATAATTTCACCCATTTTCTCAATGTACATATCTTCATCCAGGATTTTTGGTTGAGTACACTTCTTCTTTTTTGCAGATCCGATAGGCTTTTTAAATATAGCCAGGTCCTTGATGTTCTTGGCAGCCTCCAAGGCTTTGGAGCCTGGACTATCTGTGATAGTGTCTAAGAAAACAGAATACAAACAATGACAATCTAACTCAAGGATTAGAAAAATCGTCTACTTGATTGTTCTTTATCTTATAAAAGAAATTAATAATTTATTTAAATGTGTAATCGTACTTACTATTCATTCTGACTTATATTGTGAATCTAATCCTCAGAAATGAGGTTATGTGGCAGAATTTACGCCTAACGCTATTATTAATTCATGGATAAGTGTTTATGATTGTGAAAAATATTCTCCTGTACGAAACCATTTAATATGAACTAGCATTTGATTACGTCTTTATGCGCAACAGCTCGCGTACTATAAGATTATTTACACTTTGCAGTCATAAGATAACGTATACAGTGATCAACTGTGCCATCTATAGGAAGCATAATATGACATAACATTACCGACACGTGTTTAATTCAGCAAGTAGCGCCATCTCACGTCATTCGTTCAATTCACGATCGCGCAAAGTACAAATAAACAGCTGGAGAAGTTGAAAGAATATAAAATACATATTTCTCGCAATTAATAATGTAAAAAACAAGGTAATATTTTTTGTCTTTCCCTATCTCTCCTTCCGTACGTTTTAATGACAATCTGATCTCATCAAATTATAATACAATGTCGATTTTTTATTCTCATTAGAATTTGCGTTGTCAAATTATAATGTAAATTTTGTGTCGTGTTTACTCTGTCAGAATATATAATAAAATCAAAGTTCTTTTTTTACCAGAAGCTTTGAAACAAATATATAATGTACGATATATTTACTCATTTTCATAGTTATTTAAAATTTCGACTGTAAAAGGAAATGACAAACAGATCAAAGTATCAATTCTAACCAAAGTATCAATTCTAACCAAAGTAGTTAATGTATTTCCGAAACATTCGTTAACTTGATGATTTTTGTCATTAAGAATTGAAGCATCAGAGCCTCTTTTTGAAGTATATACACATAGACACACATGTATCATATATCCGCTTTTTTTCCATTCATTATCATATTTGGAGAGAGAATACAGTGCATAAAATCGCAAATAAAATTCCAAATGGAATTATAAATCGCCCAAAGGGAGTTGGAGGCGGGATCAAAGTGACGTGTCAAAGAGTTAAACGGCAATCGTCCCAACGTGTCATCGTTCCCGGGTTAATAACTCTTTCCTTCTATTCGCAAGCACCGCGGCGAACGCACGGCCCTGAGTCCTGGCTACTAGTCGCCGGTGATATTTTGGTCCAGCTGGGACAGCGGGATGGGACACGAGATATCGCCTCACCTCGTCTCGCTTCGCTTCGTCTTGTCTTATATTGCCGACGCTCGCTCGTGCGCGCGTGTTCGCGCGAGCAAAGTGATCCGAGGTCCCGAGGTGTTGGGGAGCCACGTTGACAGACATATGAGGATTCCAGCGGCGAGATAGGATATGCGTGCCGACTGTACGCCCTGGCAGAAAACTTGAGAGTATCGCCAAAATGTACATCGCCTAGTTCCTATTTCCTCTTTCTTTCTTATAGCGTTTCCAAACGTACAAGCTTTAATCTATTTGAAGTCAATTAAAGGCTCTAGGTGGTTTGTAAATATGAACTGAAGGAGTTTTATTATTTTACGAGAAAATTAGGAGATGCACATTTTTTAATATTGCGTTGTATGTTTTCCCTAGGTAGCAAGGTGACGTCTAAAAACGTCACCTTGCTACCTGGATCATTGTGCTTTGAGGAAGTTACACAATTTTTTTCATAATTAATGTTGCGTGCAAGATATAGCCGCTTGTAGTGATCTAAAACAAAAAGCAAACAAAATTTCTCCTCAAAACGTAATATAACGTCCTCAATGCATAATAAAACAGGCTGAAAAGTTCAGAAATGTGTGTCTTCCAATTTCTTTGTAAAAAATTCCAAAGCGATCCCTTCAATTCATGTCTACAAATTATCCACAATTCTTAATAGAGTGTTCAAGTCTCTATACTGTCCAACCAAGCCCTGCCTAGCCTAATTGCTTAATGAAGACTTATAGCATCATTAGTCGACCTCAAATCGATCAAAATCCAGGCATTTAAGAACATTATTTTCAAGACGAATGTTCTGAGGGAATTGAATCGATCGGTCGATCGCACGTTCCACTTAGATGATTCGATTCTCTTCGAACAGAAAAATGTGTCTATTATTCTTGATAAACTATAAAATTAACTAAATAGGAAAAGAAAAGTATAGATTGCTAGACGCAGAGGAAATTGGCGAGTCTCTGTGACGATAGCGAGTTATGTTAACAAGCGTCCTCGTTATTTGCATTGCGGGTTGATTAATACAACGACGAGACGAGTGGCTATTTAGCGTAGCTTTGGTTGGTTGGTAATTACACGAGCGATGATTGACATACAACACGTATGATTTAAGTCCGGTACTCGCTGTAAATTGCATTTCTTTCTGTGCCAACACCAAAGCTACCATCATGCTCTCCACGTGATTTCATCTACTCGTGTGATGTCTTCCTGCGTCACTTTCACGATACGCCGTTTACGTTTCTGTAGTAACATCATTATTCTGTCGACCTTGAAATGCTTGATAATAATTAATACAAATCAATTAGGAAGAAAGTAGAGTCGCAACCCAGACAACATAAATTACTAAAAGATGTTTTAAAGATGTCCACAGAATGTCTAAAAGAAATATAATTTGGTAAATTATGCTGTCTGAAAAACATGGAAAAAAGTACAAGATATATCCTGCACAAGAGAAAGAACCAAAATAAATTAAATGTAATGTGATAAGATGGATATTTATATATTTCTTTTTTAGACAAACGCGGAATCTTTACGGAAGCAGAAGCACGAAAAAGGTGGAAGACGGACATGTCTGTCGGCGAGAGTGAAAACTGTCCAAGCAAGCGGAGCACGCGAAGACAGACGCTGACCGTGAATGCCATGGGTGTCTAGAAGAAGTTTACCTTACGTCGTAAATAGAGGGGACGATCCTTTTCTGTTGCAACGTTGGGCAAAGCTGATGGCAACGCGTGTGTCGCGTTTACCGCAATTTTGAGATCTCCTCTGCATACTTTCTCTTTCTTTAAGGTATACGTGTCTCCTATATACTTTTATATATGTATTTTATAATATAAATCCATATTCTCTCTCTTTCTATGTATGCATACGTATTATAATTTATGTTTATCCTTACTGAACAGTCGGTCAACGGGTTAATAATACCGTAAAAATCTCGAACGCGAAGACAACTGTGAAAGCATCAAAGTCAAATCAAAGAGAAAGTCGTCGGGATGTCTATCTTCGTCGATAGCCAAGTTCCTCGCCGCATATTGAAGCGTTCAGCCGTAGTGGTATCGTTCACGGCAACGTTCGTCGAGCTTAAATAACTACATAAAACGCGCGGGACCACGGAGGAAAGTCAAAATACGAACGACCGAGGAAGAGACGAGGCCGCGGGGGCGACGACGGCGGCAAAAGTGGAAGAGGGTACTAGACGAGAGGGACGAAAAGGTTGCGGACATAAAGCGTAAACAGTCGAGGTGTGATTTGACGTGCACTCCGGCCGTGCCTTCGAGGCCCGCGCGTCCCGCTTTAAGAATCGCCCGGTGGAAGAGGGTGATGGCGATGGCTGGAATCTGTAAATCTGTCATTGCGGCCGTATTCGTGCGCAGGATATGAACTTCTGGCCGTCGTGTCGGTCGCATCGCGTCACGTCGCTTCGCTCCGCGAAGCATCCTCGGCAAACTATGGTTGGTTTAGTTCTTCGATGGATCGAGTTTTCGATCTCCCAAAAGTAACACATGTTGCGTGCGAGTAGCGGTAGCGAACTCGAAAAAATCGCTGCCCCGATAGAGAGAAGAGACTATGAAGTTAAAACAAATAGACGGGGTGAAAATGGACTCGTGTTATGAGAAAATAATTCTTCTTTGTATTGTATATATCGCGATTAAAATTAAACAGAGAATATCACAATATACTTCGATCGTTCTCTTCTCTCTCTCTCTCTCTCTCTCTCTCTCTCTCTCTCTCTCTCTCTCGCTTTCACGCAAATTCTTAATTAATCGCATGCGCTCACGTAATGATACCGCAAAGAATGCGCTGACACAAGCGAAACGAAGTTACGATCGCGATGGTTAACGCCTATTCCGAACTCCGTCGGTCTTCTTCGGAAATTCAGAAGGCGTTTCGAGCCGCACCAACAACGTGGAAACTATAAAAGCTCCGCCACACCGTGTACATGCGAATCGTACACACGGGCCACGGTACGTGGCGATGACGGATTCATGGGCCGCGGGATAGCACCTTCCTCTTGCAGTCGCGGACACACGCCGACGTTTCCTTCCTACTCCTTCCTCTTTTTTCCCTCCACCTACCGAACGATTCATTTGTCGGTCTTTGATCCGCGACCAACGAGCCACTGCCGGAAAATTAGAGAGATTTATTAAACACTCTCCGTGCGCCAGGTCCTCGTGCTCCATTGCCTCTCGTCACGCTCGGTTGAGTTTGGTAATTGACAGGACGTGTTAGAGATCGGTATCGACGAACGAAATAGTGATGAAGGCTCGTCCACAATACGCAGAGTGAGCTTGGCGCAAGTTGGATTAAAAAAAAAACGAAAATTATTTATTTCGCTTTTATGCCTTTACTCTAATTTTCTTACAATCAAAGATATTTCTCTGAATTACTCCAACTTGCGCTAAACTCACTCCGTGTATTGTAAACGAAACTGGACAAAGAACCCGTGAGATATCGATGCAACTGCGATTAAAACAATTATTTCAATAGCAATAACTCTCGTTTTGTTACAGGAGAGACGTATTCGGTGCCAACAACGTTGGTGGCAAAAAAGAGATAACGTTCCTTTCGCTTTTCCCTTCAATGTTAACCAGTAGACCGTTGCCTTTAACTCTCTAACATAAATTCGGGAGAGGTGTCACCAATGTCAGCTGACCTCTTGGAGGTTGACCTCAGTTAGTCGCAGCATCATCCACGACGAAGATGAAAGAATACAGGGCGGCTTTTTATTGCCGGCGCCGTCACGCGCCGTCGATAAGCGCGGCTTCTCTGTAGACTGTGAGTCTTGCGGCTTTATATTACTCTCGGGTTAGGGTGTCAAAAGTACACGGTGAGACCTCCCTTGTGCGGACCGCACAGTATACTTTTACAGTGTACGGCGCAACGTGTTAGACGAGAACCGAGAATGTCATTTCTTCGCGGAATAAGTTAATAAGTTTAAGACCCAACGTGTCGCAAACTGAGTCAAGAAGTTCGTTCGTCAATTCTTATTTTTTATCCTTCCACTTATGATTGGGAATTGCGATTGAATTTCCACCCTCTGTAGATACTTCTGCGTGATATAGTGGCGAATTTTTAAACAAATGTATCCTCAGTTTATTTATATAATTTTCTCCATTAATGTGTTGTGAATCGCACAATTCCCTGCGAACATATTAATGAGAAATAAATACATATATTCAGTAACTTTTGATGATAATATAGTTGGCTTGTGAGACATTTATAATATCTCAAGAGTCCCACCTCTCCTCTTTTCCTCCTCTTTCTTCCTCAGTCAGAGGCGGGAACATTTTTTGAAAATACGGATGAGTGCAAAACGTTTAGCTCGCTCGAGAGATCGTAGTCGCTGGCAGTCATTAAGCATACGCTTGTAATATGTTTACGCAGCGTTGTTCCTCGTGCAGTCATCAATCACGGCGAATGTCGCGTCCGTCCATCCGTCACGCCACGGAGACTTCAAACATACGAGTTCTCGTTTCGCTTCATTGCCTAGTCCGTCATTTCTGACAAACCTGATGTTAAACTACGGTTTTTGTGATCGTTGGCGAATCGTAAAATTGGCAACCAATCCTTTAAAAAATTAAGCAACTTTAAAGGACAGGAAGTTTTGGTATAATTGCAACATTTTGTTCATAACTATTGTTGACAAT